CACACCCCCCCCCCAGGGGGGATGGTCATGCTACAGTCCCTTCTCCTCCATTCTCCTCTCGGGATCTTGGGCACACACGCACATGCGCCTGGTGTAAATTTAAGTCACCAGTCTGGGACTTGAACTGCAGTCGACTACATGGGAATCCAGTGACATAGCCATCACACCATCTGCTGGTCCCTGTAAATAAACTTCGATTGTAAAATAGCTATGCTCATTTACTCACCTATTGTCTGCAGCTACTTGGATAGAAACAGGTATTTGACTTGCAAAGCCTCAACTATTTACTCTCTGGATTTTTACAGAGTTTGCACCCAGGAGAATGCACCCAAAGCACTTTTCCCAATAATCTTTGGAAGTAATTATTGACTGTTGTTTCAGCGCAAGACCAGATTTCCTGGAAATGTGACATGTGTGGGGAAGGGTATTTATTTCATTTATGTGTTAGCAGTTCAAGATCTTCCACTGGTTCCTTCTTATCTCAGCCATGATACAAACTTACATAGACTGGGGGACATGTAGAAAGGACATGAGAAAACTGCTTTTCCCCCTTTGTTGAAGAGAAAATGAAATAGAATTTTGATTAAATGGCTAGTCGTGGGGCCAGCTATGTGGTTAAGGTGGCTAGATCTCACATGGTCAAGTGAATGATTCCAATCCTGATCCTGGTAGTTTGAAAAACACACTGGGCACATGTGTGTGCATGGCCAAAATCCTGAAAGGAGAATGGAGGAGAAGGGATTGTGGCATGGCCATCCCCCCGGGGAGTGATTTCTTACCTTCCCTCTCTCTTTCTATCTCTTTCTGGCAAGCATCTACACCCTATTGCAAAACTGAAAAAAAGAGGAAAAAAAAAAGGCTAGTTGTATATGATGATATTTGATGCTATATTTCTCCAAGCTCTTTAAAAAAAAAAGGCTAGTTGTATATGATGATAGATGATGCTATATAAATCTCTCCAAGCTCTCTACAATTCAAAGGAAGAGAATAACCATGAAGCGGTAAATACATGAAGACTAACACCCCCATGTACTGTGGGTGTTACTTGGAGCTATGTATTTCAGTTTCTTTGTATTACTCATTAGTCTTAAGACATGGTAAAGAGGGGCCAGCAGGTGGCATGGTGGTTGAGGGCACTGGACTCCCACATGGCCGACTGCAGTTTGAGTCCGGGACCTAGAGGCTTGCTTTCTCACTTTCCCTCTCTTTCTCTCTCTCACACTCTGTCCCTCTCTGGTCAAATTAAAATAAATAAATATATAAAAAAGTTAAATAAAATAATCCTAAAAAAACAAAAAAATTAATAAATGAATAAAGTTAAATAAAATAATTCTTAAAAAAAAAAAGACATGGTAAAGAAAGATGGACGTGGAGGAATAAAAGAGGATAGCTAGGGACCAGCAGATGGCGTAGTGGTTACGTCGCTGGAATCCCACATAGTCTACTGCAGTTTGATTTCCAGACCCGGAGACCTAAAACTCATGCTGGCACATGTGAGTGCATGCCCAAGGGCCTGAGCAGAGAATGGAGAAGGGATTGCAGCCATCCCCCCGGGGGGGTGATTTCTTGCTTTCTGTCTCTCTGTCTCTCTGGCGAACACATGTGCCCTATAACAAAAATCTCTCTCTCTCTAAAAAAAGCTATAGTGAGAAATCAGAGATGAAAGGAAAAGCAAGGAAGTTCAGATAGGATGAGAAGTTGGCTAGAGCAAAGCAAGCAGCTCTTAGCGTGGAAGAATGATTATTTTAGGGTTTTGCCATAGGGTGCAAGTACTTGCCAGAGAGAGGAAGACGGAGAAACAGTGAGATGGAAAGTGAGAAATCACCCCCTGGGGGGAGAGTCACAGTACCATCCCTTCTCCTCCATTCCTTTGGGATTTGGGGCACACACGCACATGCACCCAGTATCATTTCAAACAGCCTGGTCCAGTACTTGAACCATGGTTAGCCATGTGGCAGTACCTTAACACTGCCACCTGTTGGCCTTTAGAAGAATTATTTTAAGTTCTTAGTCCAGTTCCTTGATTGGCATTTCCTCACCTGAATAAAAGGGCTGGAATAATAAACTTTAAAAAAATTTAATTTAATTTATTGTTATTATTATTTAAAAAATTTGCTGTATGGCACATGTGCTCAGAGAGACAGGCACAGAGAGAGAGAAAGGAAGTGAGAAAATGAGCCATTATGTCTGAGGCTTGAACCACTGTCAGTCATATGAGAGGTTAGAACCTTAACCACCATGCCATCTGCTGGCCCTAGAATAATGAGCTTTAAAAATCCCCTCTTAAGGACCAGCAGTTGGCATAATGGTTATGTTGCTAGACTCCTATGTAATCGACTGTGGTTTAAGTCTCGGACCTGGTGGCTTAAACTCATGCCGGGCACATGTGCATGTGTGCCCAAGATCCCGAGAGGAGAATGGAGGAGAAGGGATTGCGGCGTGGCCATCCCCCCTGGGGGGTGATTTCTTGCTTTCTGTCTCTCTGTCTCTCTCTGTCTTTCTGGCAAGCACATGCGCCCTATAGCAAAAACCTCTCAAAAAAAAAAAAAATCTCCTCTAGTCCTATGATTTTCTGAAACCTAAACTAATGCCTTAAAAGTCAAGACAATGGGAGGAGGGTTGGACAGGGCAGAGGGATAGGGATAGGGAATCAAGGATGGCAAGAAAAAAAACAAAAACAAAAACAAAAAACACAAAATATACAAGACATAAGAAATGAAAAATTGTTGATAACACCGTATGTTGATGTACTTGACTGTGCCAACAGTGTATTTTGGATGAAAAATTCAGTTTGTATACTGTAATGATGTATAGCATATTAGTGTTAAAAAAAGAAAAATAAATTAATAAAAAAAGTGCAAAAAAAGTCAATTAATCATAAATGTGAGGATTTATTTCTGGGGTCTCTAGCCTATTACATTGGTTGATATGTCTTTTTTATACCAGTACTATGCTAATTTGGCTACTATAACTTATATTTTGAAATTAGTGGTGTGATGTTTTTCATTTAATTTTTGCTCAAGATAATTTTGGCTATTCAGGATCTTTTATGGTTCTAATATAGGGAAA